GAGTAGCTGGGACTACAGGCATGCGCCACCATGCCCGGCTAATAAGTTCTACTCTTGATTCTTATTTACTGAATGTCTTCTGAAAAAGGCCATGGTAAATAATGTGTTATAATTTATTTTAATTAGAACCTCTGCTTACGGCTAGCCATATGTGAGAAAACATTAATACCATCTGCCCCAGTGTTGATGGTTTGCAGAAGAACAGCTGGGCTGTGAGAACTTGAATTCAGTTAGACAATGCCTAGGTCTGAGTTTATCAAGCTGGTGCAAGATGAACACTCACTTCATTAGACATTGTGCTACTTTTCTTCCTGTAAGCCAAATCTGAAAGAGCCCTCCAGTTCTTTGAAGCACACTGAAAGAGTTCACATACGAAGGTCAAACTAATGGAAACACTTCATAGATTATCTTGGAATACTTTTAGATCAGTTCGTTTTGTGTATTTTTGTGCTGAAAAATGTTATACTCTTATGCTTTATTGCATATGGAACAAGAATAATTGTTCATTTTGTGCAATAAATATAAAATGCCATAGTCAAATGAGCAGCATATGCCTATTAAGAATTTTAGGAAAAACTATATTTTTCACTATAATGATCCCAAGTACATACTTTTTCCATAGTAATGATTATTATATATGTATAGTATCTGCTCTGTTTTTAATGCACAGCATTTAGAAACAGTGATAATTTTTAAAGGTATTATAAAAGATGAAAAAAAATACATGGAAAAGAAAGACTATCTAGTTGGTATTTGACAAACATAAAGCAAAACAAAAGTCTCCTTTTTGAATAATGATATTCATGATCATGTAGAACTTCAATACTAGAAGATGAAACATAAACGATGATTCCAAACTCATATATTCAACTAAGGTGAACTTTTAAATGAGGAAGAGAATTAAAGTATATTCTCCTTCCTACTAGACATTACTAGTAATCATGTAAGTAACTTAAAAACAATGTTTGTAACCTTAGATCCATTCATTCACATTTGTTGAATACTTATTATATACCAGAAAAATGGGAAGCTTTTTCATGTACTCTAGTTTATCTTCATGATATACAAAAAAGGTATCTGAAGCTCAGAGAGGTTAAAATATTTTTTCAAATCTGCACAGGTAATTGAATTTACTTCGATATTTAAGAGCATCTTGCTTCAATGCCTGTGTTTTGTCAAAATTAGTCTCAACAATTCTTTTTCCCTCTCTGAGGTGGGCTTTCAGTGAGAAAAATGAAATTCATAAATATTAAATGACTTGTACAGGATTGCACAACTAACCTGAGACTGTGTGTGAAATTGTTAAAACTCTTTCCTGCTGTAGGAGAATCTGGCCATTAATTCCCAGCTCTGTAACTCTGGAAATTAACATAAAATGGTTTTTAATCAACTAGGTTGCGTAGCTTCATTGCTTATATAAAACTGATCCCTGATTGGTAAATTGCCTCTGGCTTGGAGAAACTGTAAATGAACTGGAAATACCTGATAGGGACTTTTTGCTTTGGGCCCTCCTGAGTGTGGTCACTGGCCTGTCCCTTGAGGTAACTTTGAAACTGTGCCTATGGAATTGTTGCAAAAGATATTGGCTCTTCTGGGACACATAGCTTCTTCCTAAGCCAGACATGGCAAAGCCTGCAGCTACTCTCTCACGCTTTCTCTCCTTGCACCTGGACACTCACCTGAGAAGATGATAACTCCTGGAGTGCTCTATAAGTTGCTGTGCTGCTTGCGGGTGAGCCGTGGTTCCTGTCCTCCAGACTGATGTCACATGTGGCCTGTGGTTGTCCTATGGGTCTGAATGTTCAATTGAAGTTAGAAGACCCCCTGCTGAGAACAGGAGAGCAATGAAGATGGGATTTGAAACTAATCTCTGTCTCCAAGTGCTTTTTCTACTGTATCACAGCTGCTGTACCTCACTGTGTTTTATTTTACCCTGGAAACTCACAGCTTGTTTATCTTTGCCATTACCATTAATGCTATTCCAGCTCTGTGTCCAGGTGGGCTATGGAGGCTGCTTTGGCAGCATCTCTATTATTGATGCGTAGCTGCCCAACTTTTCTTTCTATCTTTAATCCAAGCTTTTTCCTGGAAATTCAAATGAGATATATTCCTATTGATCATTTGGGAGCTGATGTGGTATGCAGAAATTTTTTCCTTTTTTTTCACTTTTGGCCAATTGAAGAGAGATATTTCATGAATTGTTTTCTTTTTCTCCTCCTCCTCCTCTATTTTTTTTTTTTTTATTTCCCCCAGGCAGCCTCCTGTTAGCGAGTCTCACTGGAGAACGTTGCTGCAAGACATGTTAACTATGCAGCAGAATGTTTACACATGTCTGGATTCTGATGCTTGCTATGAGGTAACTCTTTCTATGTGAACTATTTTAATTTTAAAATTTTGATTGTTATCCTTTATTGAACATAAGGGTGATGCCAATAAGCTTCATGGTAAGTAATACTATTGAATATTAGCTGATAATTTACTAGTGCTTTCTAGTTTGAGACTTTCATACTTAATTCTTCTATCTTCCCTTTGTTCATTGAGATACCATCTATTTAGTGAGCTAGCCCTTGGCTAGAAATTTCTCTTACTTCCGTAGTTTTGGTAGTCACTAGAACTTACCTAAAGTACCTGAGAAAAGTCTCTCAAATCTGTTCTGTCTTCATCTCTGCGCAACCGCAGCAGTCCTGCTACTTGTTTCCCTACTTCCGTCCCTTTTTCTAGTTTACACCAGAGTATTCTTCTAAAACAAGACTTTTCATGATGTGCCCCTTCTTAAAAGTTTTTCCATATCAATAATCAGAAAGTACCTCTATCCCTTAGCATGGCATAGGAAGCCACAGCAGATTTCAGCCTCCCTACCTTTGTCATCTCCACCGTGTCCTGTGCTGCAGTAGCTCCCTCAGGTCTGTGGTCAGTCCCTCCATCCACCGTGCTGTTCTGTGTCTCTGTGACTTTGCCTGCGTTGATCCTGTGGCCTGGAATATATTCCTGTTTTGTTTTTTGTTTTTTTTACTTGGAAAACTCCTGGTAAAATCTAAAACCAGCTCACTAATTATGTCCCCTAGGATGCCTGCCTTTGTCCTTTCATATAACTTGCTTCTGCTATAGCCTTTCTTTAAAATGTAGTTATTTGTTTATATATGTTTCTTCTATTTGGTCATGTGCTCCTAGACAGGCATTATCATATCATGTTCATCCTCATGTCCCCTAATATATATTATAATGTCTGGAATATAAAGGATATTAAGAAACGGTTGTCACTTGACTCGGTATAATCCAGGGGGATTTACTCATTATTTTGGAAGGTATATATATTACCAATAAATTATTCATGGTTCTTATCAAAAAATGATCTAACTCATTTTTAATTAGAGGCAGTCTAAATAAGGTTTCTCATTTGAATTTTCTTGTTAAATAAGCCAGACCCAAAATCATGCAGAGTATTTCTTATGTCGCTTTGCTCTGATATCACAAAGCATGAACTGTTGATGAAATCAGAGTTATAAAAATAGGTTTCTATTTTGTGAAATTGTTTAGCTTTGTAATTCAAGGTGATTTTAACAAAAAAACACTAATGTAGACTGTTGAGAAATGAATGGTTTTATATTTGAATTTCAGGTTTTTAAATGCTCGAATGACTCTAATGTTCATATGATAATTTCAGTCTCAGACCACATAAAATATAATTGCCAATAACTTCCCTTTTTGCATCTGAAGCAAAACTTAAAATCAGTTTCAGGAGAAAATAATCTGTATGCACATGAAGTCTAAAACCTGTCACTAGAATGTTTGAAGTAGTGTTTTTACATTGGAATGGCATTAATTTGGTTCTTCCCTGTTTCTGACTTTGATTCTGTTTCTGATTGAAAAACTGGCAATAAGTATGTTACATTTGAACCAGCTCCTATTTGGAGTCATCTGTTATAACTTGTCATATTACAGATTCAAAATATTTTAACACCTTTTTATTAGGCTTTGATATTTTAATGACTCCTGTCCATGAGTCTCTCTTTGTTGAGAAAACATTTGAAAGCATGTTATGACAGATTTGCAAAGGTTCCAGAAGATGGTCATATAGATTTGGTCAACTTAAAATTTTAAGTATCATTTTAGTGCCTTTTAAACTACGCTATATTGTCTTACTGATTTTTGGTTGTTGAGTTTTGCTATCCTTAGAAAATAATTTGAAAGCTCAGTGGCATAACTTTGGAAATGTTAGATGGAGATTTCTATATAGCCTGTAGATCAGAAATCTATATTGTTCATTTTAGCAAAACCTTTTAAGGTTCAGGGTGAGCAAATTGTATTTTTCAATATTGGACATTGACTGTTTACGGCTTACTTGAATAAACCAAAGAAACATAGAGATACTATTACCTGTAACTCATTTGGATTAGACTTGGAGTAGGCCATTTTCATGTGTCAGATTTAAGTGATTAGGGTTGCTCATTGATAGTTTGCTTTCTCTCACAATATCAATTTCATAGTGAATCCCTTTTAGGTATTAATGATTTTGTTCTTGTTAGACATCTCAACAAAGTCCTGCGTAAACGTGCCTCCCGCAGTAAGCCTAGATGCAAAGAAATGAGAATAAGGGGATCCTATGAAAATTGGATGGTCTTCCTAATTATAAGGATAC